GGGCAAATACAGTATGTGTGCTCGTGTTCCAATTCAAACAGATATCAAGTGCAAGTGTGCTCACAGTCAACTACAGCATACAGTGTATCGGTGTATCCGGGCTAAGCAGCTAAAAAACAGAATCAACTATGGCAATTAAGTGTTCTACATTGCGGAAAATGAAACGGGAAGGAAAATACCTCGGAAGCGCCGTATGATAGATGTGACTTCGGCTCGCCCAAGAGAAGCTCTGGAGGCACTGTCCTGTCAAAACACCGGAACTGGCGAAGTCCGTCAGGAGGCAGTATGTGAATCGCCGACCGGTAGGTCGCCGGGTCAAACGGGCAGACGCTCAGAGGCAAGAGCTCGGCCTTGGGATCCATCTCATGCTCCGAGGGAGTCCCGCCCTGTGGAAGATCGTTTGCCATCTCAGAAAGAGCATCTCAAAGAGAGTGTGGAAATGGCCGGAAATGTGGAAACCGGGCTAAAATACGAAAAGTCAACGGAAAGTCAACTCCGAGAGGGCAGAAAATGGCCGAAAAAGCTGGAATGTGGAAAAGACATGAAGATCAAGAGGAACTCGGTGGAAACAAACCCCAAGTGGCGGAAATCAAGAAAAATACACCGAAACGAAGTTTCGTTCGGTTCAAAACGTCCGAAACGACGAAGTATTCGCGAATCGAACGACGAAAAAGTGTTGAAAACACAAGAAAACAGAGAAATAAAGGAAGGAAAATGATCTAGAGAGAGAGGGAGGGAGTTTTCGACCAAGAACAAGTGAAGAAAATAGGGCTAGAGGCCCTATTTTAAAAGACCCGAGGCCACACTTCAAGAAATTACACTTTTGGCGACTACTTTTGGCGACGACGTCAATTTTTCATCGCCAAAAGTATATTTTTGGCGACACAGTGATCAATTTCGTTGGTAAAAGTATACCTTTACCGACGCAATTTGTTGCCGTCGCTAAAAAGGCATTACATTATTTTAGCGCCAAATTTTTTGGTTGGCGCCAAAATTTCAAAACTTTTACCTGCGAGGCTTATGTTTTAGCAACACAATGAGCGTTGCTACTTTTGGCGACGACAAGTTGGCGTGGGCAAAGAGTTAACCATTTAGCGACGATGACACTATTCGTTGGTAAAAGTTTTGCTAGTGGAATGATGTGATTTAGTGATTTGTGTTTTTTATTATAATTTTTGAACGAGTTTTAAATATTTTAGTTACTGAATTTTAAAATTAAAATGATCATTGAATTAGATCACAAAATAAACCCATTGAGCTCAAACACACTCTTAAGTTGAGATGACTAATTTGAGATAATTCAAACTTTTTCAAAGAATATGGTTAGATTATCAATTTCAATATGTTTGTTTTTATTTTCAGAAACTAGTTTCAAATTTTTTTTCTCCTAAAAAACAAAAAAAAAAATGGGTGAAAAAAAAAACTTAATATTTTTTATATATTTTTATCTTTTAGGTCATAAATACTTTTTAAAATTTGAAAAATATAATTTTGATTTTTATTGCTTTCAAATTATTTTTAATTTTTTCAAAAAAAAACAAATCTAAATTTTTTTTTTGATTTTTTTTTAATCTTTTAGGTTATAAATACTTTTTAAAATTTTAAAAATATAATTTTGATTTTTATTGCTCTGAAATTATTTTTAATTTTCTTTAAAAAAAAACAAATCTAAAAATTGTTTTGAATATTTTATTTTATTTATTTTTTTTGGGGTAGAGCAGGTGCTAATCGACGATGGACATTTCTCTCTTAAAATTCCCTCCTTTTTTTTTCCTCATCAAATCTCCCCAAATCAATCTTCACGATTTCACTCTTGCACATCCTTATCTCAGAATTCGTAGTTCTCTCTCCCTCGCGATTTCACTCTTGATCGTAGGGTTTGTGCTGTTTGCTGCTACCGTGCGATATCGGTGCTTCAGTCTGCCCTTACAGGTTTGTTCCCTTTTGCTTTGTATCTCAATGCCCCTGCTTCTCTCTCTCAATTTCTTAAATGAATCTATGCTTGTCTATTTTCACTATTACGAGTTTCGGGAGTCTGACCTCTAGTGCATATATTAACCATCCATTTAGTCAAGTTATGTTAACACCAATTGCAAATGCAGTACCTATGGACTATTGATCCTTCGCATGCATTCCTGGTTCAATTCCTTATGGGTAATTTAACTAAATTTGACTTGAATTGGTAGAATAATTTTTTTTCTTCTTGTCCAATTCGTTATGTCTAATTGATGCATATGACCACAGAGCCATGTAAGATTTTGCAATTTGCAGGGGATATACTTTAATGATTTATTTGGATTTTGAAGATTATTAGCAGTCCATAAATCCTGGACACAAAATGAAGTTATTTTAATTTTTTTTTTTTACTATTAAGTTTCTCAAGCATGTGGTGGAAAGAACCTATATGTTATTTTATTTTATTTTCATAATTTTTTCTCCTTCCCATAATATTTGAAGAGTATATCAGGTTCTTCAGAACTGATGAACTAATCTTTGCCAGTGACATGGAAAAGGAAGGTTCAAATTGGCAGCGAGGAAACAAAAGAGAAAAATATGATAAAAATTAGTGAGAAAACAAGTGATGAGTGGTATCCTAGTATGGCGTCTAGTACAAGAAGAAAAAAAAAATGGTGTGAATTCATGAAGAACACCCAATTTGAAAATTAATGAGATATTGCATTGATATTTGGTGAGAAGAATTGGGAACTAAAATTTTGCTTATTAGTTTATTTAAACAAGCAAAACAATAAAATGCAAGAGTAGAACCAGAGTTTGTATTGATGGAAGTCGTTTTGACAGAGAAACTCTTAATAGTAGGATCACTCCATGCACAACAGGACCACTGACATACAAAAACAGATTCCTTTATTATTTTCATAAAATTCTGTAACAGCTTGCATTGTTGCATTGGTTGGCTGCATTGTAAAGAGTAAGGTTCATCTTTTTGTGCGGTACTTGAATGTTAATGATACGGTTTTAAATAGGGCAAATTACATATACCCCCTCGAGGTTTAGCAAAATTACAAATACCCCCCTGAGATTTGAGAAATTACAGATACCCCCTGAAGGTTATATTTTCATAACAAATTAGGGGGCAATTTGATACGAAAATATAAACCTCAGGGGGCAATTTGTTATGAAAATATAAATCTCATGGGGCAATTTTTAGGGCCTTCTTCTGGGTTGTTGAGATATGTGTGTATGATGCATTTGTTAATTTCATTGGTTAAAGTTCGCGGCTTTCAAAATGGGCTTTTGTTTTTTTGGTCTGTAATCTGTCTAATTGCTTATTTATTTATTTATTGGTTAATTGGGTAAGCTTATGTTAAATTTGATAAAATTTTAGTTGTGTATTACTATTGTGAACCCATCAGCGAAGAGAAATGGAAAAAGAGGGACCCATTTACTGGGATTATATAGAGTTTTTGGTTCAAACAAGGCCAGTTTGCTTATGTGATTTCTACTCTCCAGAATTTGGTTTTGTTTTTGTTTTTGTCTTTTCATTTTCTGAATTGTTTTATCTTTAAGATTATATATATTGATCTCAGTTTATGTGTTAAGTAATTAACAACTATGATTTGTTGTTATGAAAATGCAGTAATTGGGGAAATATTGGTTTCTAACATATATATATATATATATATATCCACACTTGAGTTTATACTATATATACTATGGTGGGACACTCCTCACCTTATTGTACCTTTTTCCCTCTAAACAGTTCCCACTCTTTTGGTGTCAGTTATCTTCAGATAATAATTTCTCTCATATTGCCTAGTGGCATCATTTTTAAGAGTTATTACTAACATCACTTCCATACCATTGGTGAGGGACTATGTTACATGGGCTTGAGTATGATGAGGAAACTTCTTAGGTTTGTTGATGTTGATTGCAAAGTCATGTTGAATTTTCAATGCAAGGTAGGCTTTTTAAAAAAATTACAAATAAGTGGTAAACTTTACAAGTATATTAATAATTAAAGACAAAAGTTTTTCATCAATCTGTAATAATTTTTTGACAGTTCCACTGATTAATAATTTCCCCTTCAATTTTCCCCTTCTTTCTAGAAGACCTTCAAAAAATGTGCCTGTGAAGTGGAGGAACTTAAGTGATTTAAAAGGAAATATCGTAGATAAGTTTTGCATACTATACAACCTTTACATGGTTGGAGCATGAACCTCAATATCTGTACATAATTCATAATTATACACCATGGGTCACTTCCTTTTCTCAATCCACAAAAAATTCCTCAAACCCAAATTAAGTGCAACTCGAGGACTAGCATAAAAACTAACCCACCTTAACCCCAGCCTACTATGTGGCTCCACTAGTACATATCTGCCTGATGACCCTCGCCTACTGCCCCATGCCTTCTTCAACTAGATTGAATGTCTTCTATCATATTTGAGACTTTTTGATGTGCTCCTCACCATCTCATCTCATTTCAAGTGAAACACTTTCTTGAATTTCCAAAAAATGATGTTCGGTCCAAATAGCACCACTCTCATGCATTCTCTATACCACCCATACTTTAAGAACAAAAATGAAAATTTTGAATTATAAAAGAAAAAAAAAAAACTTTTAACATTTGGAAAAAATCTAGATGACCCATTTAATGTGTTTAAATGATGAACACGTGTGTCTTTCAAGTGTTTGAAGTGTGTTTGAGTGTGATTTAAAATAAAAGACATGTTTGGATGCAGGTGCAACATGTGTCAGGAAATGTCTGACGGGCGTCAGTGTTCTGCACGAACACACCACCTTCTTAGAAAGGTTCATGTTTATTAGCACAAGCATATTATGTATTTTTGTTCTTGTGAAGAATTATGAAAGATAAATTAGATACATAATTTACCTTTGAGTTTTTTTTCTCTTCTTTACTTTTTGGGTTACCTACTTTGTGTAGTTCCTTAGTTTATTTCAGTTAAGATATTGTTGTAACAAAGGGGAATAGTACCGGTTGTGTCCTATTGGTATTAACTACTATCTTATGATCAGATATGGATAGGAGTTGGATGTTAATTTTTGATAGATTCAGTCAGCCATTTGTAGATGGGGTGAACTCATTTATTGAATTTGCAAAGTTTCATTTGGGTGAGGCTAGGGAGATTAAGTGCCCATGCATCAATTGTTGTAACTTTTATAAGCAGGAGTATGATATTGTGACGGCTCATTTGCTCATAAGTGGGATGATAGTATCATACACCACTTGGTTAGAACACGGTGAACTTCCAGAACACAATAACCTTAATGAAAGCAATGTGAAGAATGATGAGGATAAAGATGAATATAATAAACTGATAGAGGACTATCAAAGGGGGAATTTTATGGAGGGTGATACTCTAGAAAGAGAGGATGTACGACACTTTGATAAATTGTTAGATGCTTCCCAATGTTGCTTGTACCCAGGTTGCAAAAACTCAGATACTTTGTTGTCATTCGTTATTCAGATGCTACATGTGAAGGTAGAAAATAAGTGGAGCAATAAGTCTTTTGACAAGGTTTTGGAGATACAAAGGCGATTCCTACTAGAAGGCCACGTGGTGCCAGGGTCAATTTACGAGTGCAAGAAGTTACTACGTGACTTGGGCTTGGGGTACGAGCTCATTGATGCATGTAAACATAATTGTGTACTATTCTGGAAGGAGAATGCTCACTTGGAAAAATGTCCCACATGTCAAGCATCTAGGTACAGAGTAAATGATAGCAAGGGTAAGAAGATCCCTCACAAGATATTGCGTTACTTCCCATTGACACCTAGATTGAGAATATTGTACATGTCTAGGAAGACGGCAAAAGACATGAGATGGCATAGTGATAAGCCTGTTGATGATGGTGTAGGGAGGCATCCGGCTGATTGTAAAGAGTGGAAGGAATTTTATTTGCATTATCCAGAGTTTGCCCAGGAGACTCGCAATGTTAGGTTGGGTCTAGCCACCGATGGGTTCAATCCTTTTGGGAACATGAGCACTTCCTATAGCATGTGGCCTGTCATACTCATGCCCTATAACCTCCCACCTTGGAGATGTATGAAGGCCCCATTTTTCATGATGTCCTTACTTATTCCTGGACCTAATCAACCAGGGACTGATATTGATGTCTACCTAAGGCCATTGATTGATGAGTTGAAGGAGTTATGGGAGAATGGCGTGATGACTTACGATGCCTCCACTGAACAGACCTTCCGGATGCATGCAGCTGTAATGTGGACCATAAATGACTTCCCTGCATATGGTGACTTATCTGGATGGAGAACTAAAGGTTATTTGTCTTGCCCTCCTTGTAATGATAATCCATTGTCACGCGGGTTGATCAGTAAGATTGGGTGGGTGGGTCATCGAGCTTACTTGCCTGATAACCACCTTTGGAGGAAAGACAAGAAGTTTGATGGTTTAACTGAGCTTAGAAAGAAATCCTTGGATTTACCGGTGGAAAAAGTAATGGCTCAATTGGATCAATTGCGGGAAGTCAAGTTTGGAAAGGATCCTACCAACAAGAAAAGACCACGAGAGTCTGAAGAATTGAATTGGACAAAGAAAAGCATAATGTGGGAGCTACCGTATTGGAAGAAATTAAACCTCCGACACAATCTTGATGTCATGCACATTGAGAAGAATATTTGTGAAAACTTTTACGGGACGATGTTGGCCATAGATGGGAAAAACAAGGACACGTACAAAGCACGTGATGATTTGCAAGAAATGGGCATAAGGCAAGAATTGCATCTACAGAGGAAAGATAACGGATCCGTTGTAAAGCCTCAGGCAGCCTACACATTGGATTCTCGACAAATAGATGGTTTTTGTGAATTCTTGAAGTCTATTAGTTATCCAGATGGCTATGCAGCTGTAGACGTCCCCGGACGCCCCGGGAGGACGAGTCCCATTCTACCTCGTTCTGTTCGTTTATGGGTCTACTACAGTTCAGGACTCTCAAATTGTCACGGTTCTTAATCTGAACCAAAGAGTCCAAATCCGGCAAATCGTTTTGAGAAAAACAGATTTTTAGAAAAGAAGTGCTAAACATGGACTGCTTTGCCAGATACAGAGTCGCCACCTAAATATTTTTTTTATGGGGGAATTTAGGAAACCCTGACTTGGTGCTAAAGGCCATGTGTCCCTCATCACCAAAGTTGCCTTGGCTCGGGAGCTTGGGTACGATTGGGGAAGGTCAGCTATGAGCACCCCCTCTCGCCCGATCCGAAGATCGGCCTCTACTAACCGTGATATCCGTTTTTGAAAACGTTGTGTTCTTATTCCATTTATTAGCCTAGAATTACTATGTTATGCGTGCAGCAAACAAACAAGTATAGACCAAATTGCCTAAATTGGAACAAAACATTGCATAACTGTTTGTTTGGAAAACGCTTTGGAATTTGCTACTCACAAGTAGGCTAAAATACGGACTTCAATGAGTTATCCCAACTCAAACAATCCAACCATCACCCAGGGGCATTCAAGCAGTTTATATCACATAAGCATCTAGCCTCATGGTAATCACGCTATCATGTTAACGTTCACACTCATGTGAGATGCTAAAGCATAAAGAGCTCACCTAAACAAGAACATGTTAGCAATCATGCATGATCCAAGTCCGTGTTTAAATGCCTAATGCAACGCATACGGAATGTCACTAGAGTAGGCTCGGCTAGTCTATAAATGACATGTGAAAATGCACAAGTAGCATGTATTCAAGTTAGATTTGAAATACTTATGCAGTTAGTATGATGCGCCGAGCCTGGTGCATGCAAGATGCTAAAGCATAAAGAGCTCACCTAGCACTCCGTGCCAAAACAAGAACATGTTAGCAATCATGCATGATCCAAGTCCGTGTTTAAATGCCTAATGCAATGCATACGAAATGTCACTAGAGTAGGCTCGGCTAGTCTATAAATGACATGTGAAAATTCACAAGTAACACGTATTCGAGTTAGATTTGAAATACTTATGCAGCTAGTATGATGCGCCGAGCCTGGTGCATGCAAGACTAATGAATGATGCACGCATGCATAACATAAGGTATGCTAAAGTAAACATGTCCTAATACTAACCATCAAAAGCAAGCACGTAAAAGGGAGAAAGAAGTGGGGGGTTGGAAGACATGCACACACGCACCCACACTTATTACAAATTCACCCTCGCTCGGAGGAACCAAAAGAATAATACAAATTAATTAACCTACAAGCTAATTAATTATTACAGACCAATTAATTAATTAACAAATTAACTAATCTAATGAAAGCAGTAAACGACCTCGGGAAGAGGGCCCAATGCAATGCGCGCTCGGCTCCGCTCGAAAAGTCACTGCCATGCACAAGTTTGCCTCTGCTTTGACTGTTCTGCTCCTCTGAAAATTGCACAAGTCCCAGGGAGCACTCTATGGACACTTTGGAACACCACCGGCTAAGTGAGATCATCACCGGCCATTTAGAATGGTCATCGGCTAAACGTTATGCTCTCGGCCAAACCTGTTTTGCCGGTCGGCACCCAACACTGCCGGCCGGCCAAATATTCCTGTTGAATCTGTTTTGACAGTAGCAGAGGACAGAACTTGGCATGGCAATGCATTTCAAGCAAATGTATGCACCACTAATTAATTAAGCAAATTAACTAAGCTAAGAAAGAGTAAAGGCCTCGGGAAGAGGATCCAATGAGCGCGTGCTCGGGTTTGCTCGGAAATCCAATGCCATGCACAAGTTTGCCTCTGCTTTGACTGTTCTGCTTCTCTGAAAATTTCACAACTCCCAGGTTGCTTCTCTAAGTGTTGTGGAACACTACCGGCTGAGTGAGGACACCACCGGCATGGAAAATGGTCACCGGCCACAAACTTATGCTCTCGGCCAAACCTGTTTTGCCGGTCGGCACCAAACACTGCGGCCGGCCAATTCTTCCTCGCTGAAACCTGTTTGACAGCAGCAGTGGACAGCAGGATGCCAGTGTATTTCAAGCAAATGTATGCACCAACATATCCCCTATCATGTTTATGACTCAAAGGGACACGGTTCTCGATTCTTGGACCATCAATCGCGCATTTCAATGCCTGATGGCCCAAGAAATCAAGTATGCACTTTGATTTTAAATGAAATGCAATGCAAATAAGCAAACAAATGGACTTTCAACCTCCATCATGGCTTGATCAAAAGGTGAAAGATGCATGCAAATGCAATGCAACCTAACTATGTTAACTAGGCATGCAACATGAGCATATGGAAAGTGTGCAAGGCATATAACAAGCATGCAAGTTAAATGAGCATACAGGGCACAATGTCAACACACAAACATGCAAAACATATGGCATGCTAAGCAATCAAAACAAAGAGGAGAATACGTGCCAAATACAACATCATTTCAACATGCAACAACATGTCATAAGCTAGGCATGCAACAACATGCCAAAGGCTGGACTAAAACTAAATTAGGCAGCCCTTAAACAAGCCTAAAACAGAGGCTAATACTATGGAAATGAGAGCCAACACACACACACATGAACATGTTGATGGGCCAACACTTAAGCATCAAATAAGCAACCTTTAAGCACACTTAAAGGAAGACAAACATGGGCATATGGAATGTATCATAAGCTCTGAAATTGCATGAAAGAGAGGTGCCAAACCAAGTAATCAAAACAAGCAAAGCATGCAATAATGGCCCAAGTACTTAAGGCAGGCTAAGGAGGTATTGAACTACCCTTAGCAAAACCAAACATGGCATGAATTAAATGATCAAAACAGAGTTTTAACATATTAAAACAAATCTTAAAGACCACTTAGATGGCATCTAAATGACTTAAATTCAAAGGGCATGCACAATGACCAAACATGGAGCACAAGGCACAACCTCATAAGGCATCAAAGAGGCATCAAAGACAAGCAATACAAGCATATTATAAGGACTGAAATAACATGGTAAGTGGTTCCAAACCATTGAAACAATGCAAGTAATGCATGCTAGAGAGGCCAAAGCTTAAGGCATTCAAGACGGATTGCATGGTAGCTATACAAAGCAAGACATGAATGACTCAAATGACCTAAAACAGTCCCTTAGCACATCAAAATATGCATGTAAGCTTCACAAAGCTAAGCCTAAATCATGCTAGAACAAGGGTCTACACCTAAAGCATGTTTAGGCAAAAATGTGGCATTACATGACATGTATGCAAGGCATGCAAGATGTGTCCAAACTAACTGAAAACGGAGCTATATTATGACATAATAAGCACGAAAATCAGTTAAAGCATGGCCAACATACACTTAAACAAGATGCTCCCTCAATAGGCAAATATGGCCCTTTTCAAGGACAACAAGGAGAGGGGGTGGCCCTCTCCTTCTTAGGACCTCAAAGCACCATCCTCATCACTGAAATCCCTCAATATTTCAGTGGTGAGGAGGCCCAAACACAAAGGTCTCGGAGCTCAACTGAAATGGCACAAAACAAGGGCCAAACAATCCTTAAAAGGGGTCAAACAACCCCAAAGCTTAAAACACCCTTAACAAACTATTTAAAGCACTCAAAAACAAGACTTTTCTATGTTATATGTTAAGCTCAAAAACAGTTGCAAATATGGCAAAACAAGCTATGAAAACAAGGCTTAAAAGAGGTAAAAGCTCACCCTTGAAGCACAACAGCAAATCAGCAACTTTTGGACCAAGAAAAGGCCTCAAATCACCCCAATAATCACCTCTAAGGACCTTAGCTCAATAAAGGGAGTAGAGAACTAGGTGTTTGTATGCAAAAGTGCAAAGAAAATGCACTTTTGAGCAGAAACAAGCCCTAAACGTTAGAGAGAGAGGCAGAAAATATAGAGAGAGAGAGAGAGAGATTTTTTTGCTCCAAGTTGTATATCTCTTTCTTCTCCTTCTATCCTATGTGAGAGAGCTTGATTGATATAGATATGTATCAATCTGCAGCTCCTCAGAACACCCACGTCCAGGCATGGGCTGGGGTATGGCCTAGAATGACAACTGCCAGCTGTCTACAGAAATATCTGTTGAAAACCACATTTGGTCGGCCGGCCATCAAAGTGGTCGACCGGCAGTCAAATTGGTCAGCCGACCATCACATTTGGCCGATTGAAAATCAAGGCGGCCGGTGGGCAGGAGACTTGGCCGACAGGTTCCCCCCTTCCCTCAGGAACACATCCACAAGCTCTTGGTGCAACCAAGCACAAAACAGAGAAGTTAAAATATTCTAAGGCAAGGCGCGCAGGCAAGACTTTTCGAAACTCAAAACAAACACAAGTATGGATAATCATCGCGTGTTCAAACGATGACGTCCAAGCCTTGAGGGCGGTCAAAAATGGGGTGTCTACAGTTGCCCCTCTTTGACAGAACTTGAAAGTCATAACAATGACGGGAGTGAATGTCAAAGCCCAGAGACGACCCATTTTTGACAAGGCCGAAGACTTAGACAAACATGCAAGACAAGCAAAGATATGCGCCCGAAGGCAGGGGCAAAATGCAACTAACAATGCAAGGAGCCGAACATAACTTATGGGAAGTGCTAGCTTATGTGATAAACATTAGATTCCTTAAAATTAAACTTATAAATAAAATTTTGAATAAATTAAAATTCCTAAAGATACTCCTAACCTTCAATTTATACTTCATCTGATGCCTTCTCAATTCGATCATTTATGTAGATAGGCAGTTTGATAAGGAAATAGAAACAAATTCCTAATATATCTGAAATTCCTAAATAAAATTAAATTATCATGAATAAAAATTTAAATAAATTAACAAATTCTTATTCGTATTTTTTTTTTAAATAATAAGAACATCAGTATGATTTTTAAGGGGAAGGTGGTGTGGCTGGGATTGGAACCTGGCTATGAGTTGGAGACGTGAGAAGGCCCTACCACTGGGTCTTCCCCTATGATCCTATTCATCAATTTATGCTTCATCTGATGCCTTGTCTATTCCCAACAACTCTTAATGGTGGATCTGCACCAGTTCACATACCATATTGAGGATCCTAATTCTTTCTATGTTTTTTTATTTTTATAAATCTAAGATAATGAATTTCTAAAAGTTTAAAGGTGAGCCTGCATTTATTGTTTGTTCTCTGATAGTGATTCCCCGATTGTTTGTTCTTATCAGAATGAATCTTTTAGTTAATGCACACTACTTGTAAATACACTAATTGATGAGCTATTCTATGAACCATATTGTTCTAAAATTGAAGTTATAATATGCATTGTTTTTATCTTAGTTTAATGGGTAAAAATATGCAGGATAAAGATGTTAATGGGTTAACATTGTGGTGCTGTTGGGGAATGGTGAACTGCTGTTAAGAGGATGAAGAGAATTAGAGTGTTCAGTCTCACCAGGTAGCAATTGTAAACTGAAAATGTAATCTGTTCAATCGATAAGACATAAATCTCATCCGGAGCTGTTTGTCATACAGCTCACAATAGGACCTCTAAATGGCTGGTTCCTGAGTTGGAGAATGCAAAATGAATGTGCATTTCACAAAAGATTCAATTTTATTGGAGTTTTTTGTTTTTTTGTTTTTTTGTTTTTTTGTTTTTTTTTTGGATAAATAAAGGAGGTTTGGTTTTGTTTACCCATAAAAAATTACTCAAGTAATTTGTGGTGCATGACATATGCACTATTTACAATGAATGCATGACATATGCACTATTTACAATGATGCATGACATATGCACTATTTACAATGATGCATGACATATGCATGTTTTTTTTTTTGTTTTTGCTTTTGAAATGCAAATGCATGATGATGCATGATTTTGAAGTGCGCGACAACGTGCGGCTTTTGAGATGCATGACAATGCAAATGATCTTTGAAATAGGCGACAACGTGCGTCTTTTGGAATGCACGTGAACTTGAATATGCGACGGCGCGAGTCGCTTGAAATACATGTATAATGCAACTTATCGAAAGTCATTCGGGCACGATAAGCACCGAAGGACTTGCACCTTCAGAGGATTTAGGGTCTCCTAGACCGAGCGTATTTAAGGTCTTGCCAGACCATAGCGATGCATGTTGCTCTCTTTTTTTGTTTTTCTTTTGAAAATGCATGATAATGCATGATTTTGAAATGCGCAACAATGCGCAGCTTTTGAGATGCATGACAATGCATGTTGATGTAAGTGCGCGACCACGCACGTCTTTTGATATGCATGACAATGCATGTGAACCCGAATGCGCAACCACGCGCGTCGTTCGAAATGCATGACAATGCAACCGAGCGGGTTTAAGGTCTCGCCAGACCGGGCAAATACATGAATTTTGTTATTTTGAATGCATGATTATGCATGATTATGACATGCGCATGACAATGCGAGATGAGTGTGCAACGACGTGACAGAAATGACGCAAAATCAGCGCGCGTTCATGATAGAGCTTTGTAATGTAACCCACATGGGGCAACTTTCGAACCTTGTAAGAGATAAAAAAGGATACCAAAAGGATACACCTTGCACAAATTCGGGTGCCACGCATAGAAGACACGGTCCGAGGTTGAAATAGAGGCTGGTTAAGCTTTGGAAATACACCGTTCTTGCACTAACTTGAGCAATGAAGGTCCCAAACCACTCATTTGACGCAAACAAGGTTGTAGGAGGCTCACCGGCCAAAAGGGGAAGTCACCGGCTATCCATCGGCTATCGAAATAACTCACCGGCCAAATATTTGGCCAACCGGCCAAAAATGTAGCCGACCGGCCAAAAATGCCTGAATCGGGGCAGTTTTGTCTTTTTGGCTCGGGTCTTTTAAAATAGGGTTCCAAACCCTATTTTTCGTACTTCCTCTTAACCGAAATTCTCTCCTC